CATAGCTGTTCCCTTTGCCAGGGGATAGTCCCAACCCAGGGATCGAACCCAGGTCTCCCACATTGCAGGCGGATTCTTTACCAACTGAGCTACTAGGGAAGCCCTTAACATTAATAAAATAGAAATATTAAAAATGATTAAAGATAGAAAAAGAAAAACAAAACTATTAAAAAACATAACGTCCATGGAGATCAGGGCCAGGTTGGGTGATAAATAGCACTTCACAATAAACCTTCAGTCATTAAAAAAAAGCTGATTGGATAGGATGTAATGTAGAAAGATGAATGTGAAGAGAAAACTAATGATACAGAAGATGCATCCATAGGTACTGCCCTGAATAAATAGAATTGGTAAAATTCAAAAGCATAATGTTATCCCAGTAGAAAAGTAATCATAAACACAAACCAAAACACTGAGTAGACACCTAAGAAAACACAACATGTAAGAGACTATCTTGAGACTCATCAGAGAGGAAAGAGAGATCCTTACAAATCAGTGACAAACTAATGACAGATTTCTGAACAGTAACAGTAGAAGTCAAAATACCTTAAAGAATGGGAGCAGTGTAAAGATATCTTCAGACAAGAAATATATTGAAAAATAAAAGCTTCATACAGTTGTCTCAGAGACATACAAATAATGATCAGTGTGTAACATTACAGAAAAGGAGATAATCAGACATTATTGCTCTCTGATGTGATGCAATAGGAAGTTCGTAACACCATGTATGCCATATACTTGCTAAAAAAAATTAAACCCCAATTCTATCAAGTCAGTAGGTCAGCCACCATTTTTTAGGAAGTTTAGAGATTATATATAAAAACTTACTAGTGCTAAAGAGTGGAGAAGGTAGTGGCAACCCACTCCAGTACTCTTGCCTGGAAAATCCTATGGATGGAGGAGCCTGGTGGGCTGCAGTCTATGGGGTCGCTAGGAGTTGACACGACTGAGCGACTTCACTTTCACTTTTCACTTTCATGCATTGGAGAAGGAAATAGTGACTCCCTCCAGTGTTCTTGCCTGGAGAATCCTGGGGACAGCCGAGCCTGGTGGGCTGTTGTCTATGGGGTCGCAGAGTTGGACACTACTGAAGTGACTTAGCAGCAGGAGTGCCAAAGAGTACAAGCAGCAAACTCCAGAATGTGGTAAATTCTAAAAGGACACCTAACCCACTTTCTTTAAGAAATGAATGGCAAGATAGGAAAACAAATTCAGTGTTCACTGGTAACACATTGGTAGCTTGAAATTAACCACGATAGGCATATTTACACACCACAGAGATCAGCAAATGCCTGAATCAGGGTTTGATTTATTGCTTATTGATCGTCTAGGCTTAAAAATGACAGAGCAGTGCCGATAATGCTGACTTACAAAAGTGCCATGTCTTTGGCTATTTATTGTATTGTGCATAATTCAGAAAACTGGGAATATATTCTTTCATTCAAAAATGATTATCCACTTCAGCAAAGAAGTCACACCACTCACATTGGTGACATCGTTGATGTAAATCAAAGTACTACCCAGGACCCCAAACTACACTTGAAAGGCCAGTTGCTAAACGTTTACCAGCACAGTGCTGGTCAGGGCATAATCAAATTCAGTGCTTTGGTAGAAAATAGACAATAATTTAAATTTATTATACTGTTATTCAGCTTTCAGAATCATCATGGCAACATATAGGCATTAATTAAGAAAAAAAAGGTTAAGTTTCAAAAGCCATTTGCTGCAGCACAAAATAATTTAAAATTTGAAGCCTTTGATATATGTCTATTGTGGATGACAAATAGAATCATAATTTAGAGTTTGAAGAACTCTTAAAATTAATACAGGCGAATCTGCCTTACAGATAGAAATTCTTTCTCTAGTGTTAATCCATTGTCTAGGCTGTATTTAAATTATTCTAGAGGCCGAGCTCATTTACCTGATAATAGTGCTGGAGAATTCTAAAGTAGAGTTCTTTTTTATCTTGAGGTATACTTGTTTTCTTTTAATTTTTTCCAGCTAGTTCTGGTACTTGACTTCTGGAGAAACACAGAAGCAACCAACCTTGTAGGACAACAATCCTTCAGGTACAAAGGTAGCTGGACTGTCTCCATTTAGACCTTTTTGAGCAGACTATACCTTTATATTTTCTAGACTCTGTATTTTAGACCGTGTTGCCTTTCTAAACATTCACGTCACTGTCTTTTGACTTTTATTGACTTTGTAGATGAAGTAAAAGCCCTAAGATCTTTTGTGTGTGTGTGTGTGTTCCAGTTATATATTTTATTCTATGTTGCTTGATTTTCTTTAACCCAAAGCAAGCCTTTGTATTTATTCATTCTTAGTCTTAATATTGTTTTCAGCATAGCATTCCTGATTATATAAATGATATTAAATTATAATGTTATCATTCTTGGTATTTATTAATCCTGTCAATTTTGTACCAGTTGCACATTTGATAAAGTGTTTATTGTTTGCATTGAAATTTTTGTTTAAAATGTTGAACTTTGAAAGATATCAGTAATATAGTTCTCCATTAAATAGCCCTCTCTGAATTTGCTTCTACCTTATCATTACTTTTTGCTATGAGTCTACCTACCAGTTCTTAGTCACCCATATTTCACTATATTATAGTCCATCATGATATATTTTGTCAGATGCTTTGCTCAACTGAGATTGGGTTACACTATGTCTCTGGTGTCCTCTCCAGTGAAATATACTTCAGTACTTCTATTTTTGAAAAGTAGGCATTTTCAAAAGATCCTGGCATGGTTAAATGTTGAAGTCACGTTCTTCCACAAATGGAAAGGTAGAAAATCCATGAAGAATGATGAGCTAGATAGTTAAGACGTTAAAAGAGAAAAGGGACAGGTGGATCACTGGGCTGAAAAGAAAATAGCCCGTGCCATCAAAGTGGAGCTTATTCATTGAGGAAGTATTCTGATCAGGTGAAATGTCAGGGATCTGTAATAGAGTGAACAGTATTTGTTAGTCTTTCCCTCCTATTGTCTTTTTCCTTTGAAAAGTATGTGGTAAAATGTTAACAGTGATGCTTCTAAGAATCCGCCTGCAGTGCTGGAGACCTGGGTTCAATCCCTGGGTTGGGAGGATCCCCTGGAGAAAGGAAAGGCTACCTACCCACTCCAGTAAACTGGCCTGGAGAATTCCGTGGACTGTACAGTCCATGCGGTTGCAAAGAGCTGGATGCGACCGAGCGACTTTCACTTTCACTTTTCTGAGTGTATATGGGTGTTTCTTTGCTATGTGTAGGATCTTCTTACTCTTTTTGCACTGGACAGACTAGTATATACTTCACAGTATTATTTTGAGGATTAAAAGAATAACTCACTATGAAATTGTCTAGTACATTCCCCTGTATTTTGTAGATAGTAGATAAAGTTTTATTTAACCTTTGTTAAATTTTTCTGCTTGTTAAATTCCATTGGCCAACCACAGTAGAGGTTGTCAGGGAGTTAACCAGTAGTTGTCTCATCATATTCCTTGACCTCCACCCTCCTTTATTGTACCCAGACCGATTTATTTGCTACCGGAAGGAAGAAAAATATATAGTAGGTCACTTGATTAAATAGTGTTAATAGAATGATGACTTTCTCTTTCCCACAACCTATTTCTTTCCTGAAATCATAGTTTACAAGCAACATCTTCCAGAAAATAGTCTGATTAGTTGTCTCATTTTCTAGCCCACATTCATGCTACTCTTATTCATGTTACTCTTAAGATCAGCAAGATAGAGGAAAGAGGCTATAAAGATAAAAATCCATGGGTTCATGAATTATTTTAGAATTTACTTTCTTTAGTTGCTTACCTGATTGCATTAATTAGTTTATGGCAGGTTTTACTTTCTTTGAACTTGAGAGTTTTTTTTTTCCTTAAATATCTTACAATTTTATTTGTCAATTATACCTTAATAAGGCAGAGAAGTCTTTAATACTCATTAGTAAGCAGTTGCAACTGTTGTACCATTGCAGTTTTGTTATAGTCTACTAAAATAATATTTTACTTAGCAAGTAAAATAGACATATTTTACTTGGTATATAGAGGATATAGAAGCTGGGTGAAAAAAAAATACTTCTCTGAGACTAGAAACCAGAAAACCAAGACATCATTTCATCTATGCACTTACTAGCTGGGTGACCTTGAACCGGTCACTGCTCATCTCTGGCTCTCAGTTTCCTAGTCAGTAAAGTGAAACGATCACATTAGACTCTCCAACATTAGGATAAAGAACTCTACATGGGAGTCTCTCCTATGGAGTTTCTCCTAACACCTGGTTGGGTTTCTCACACTGATCACTTAAACTCATTGACTCAGCAAGCAATTAATTATCAAGTTTTCGAAATGATCGAGCTAGCTCTATTGACTGGTGTATGAACAGTCCAACCAGAAGTACAGGCATATGGGCTGTCTGTGGTAAAAGGTAGGGAGAGTAGCTGAGATCTATGACCCTGTTGGTACATCCAGATTTCTGTGGGAGCAGTCCTGTAACTTGCCTGTACTGCAATGGGCTTGGAGTCTTTTGATCACAGTCAATACCTGTACCTACCCAAATCTAGGGAATTGTTGCCTTAGGAAGTGGATCCTGTATTGACTCTCACTGAACTTGGCAGTTCTGAAGCCTCAACGTTTTGAGCACAAAAGAAACATGGACAGTTAGATGTCAACATTATTAGTAGACTGTAAGTGCCTCTGTAAAGTTGCATTTCTTCCTTGAAATTGGAGCTGTGGTTTTAAAACTTATAGGAGCCATGGCTGATTCATGTCAATGCATGGGAAAAATCACCACAATATTGCAAAGTAACTAGCCTCCAACCAACAAAAACAAATGAAAAAAAAAATAAAAACAAAACAAAAAAAACAAAACAAAAACAAAACAAACTTCTTTGAACTTGAGAGTTTCTATAGGATGGATTAGTAAGCCACGTCTTTAAAATCTCTTGGTTCAATACATTGTAATTAGTTTTTGGTAATTGAATCATTCTGTCTTTTTTTTCTTGCAGATTGAGGTGGTGCCATGCAGCAAGAAGCAGAGAGATGCAGAGTTCGAGCCAGGAGGCCTGACATGGCACTTTATGTACCCAAAGCTCGAAGGGGTATAGTACTACTCAAATCAGGTGATGAGGGAAAAAGCTGTGGTCCGTCTAACTCCGTGGTGAAAGAAGAACAAAGGGAAGATTCTCTCTCCCAAAAGGAGATCTTTCAAGATAAATGCGAGACTCCAAGACTAAGTATTAATCCTGATAAAAAGGAGCACAGTCATAGAGAAGGAAAGAAATATTCAATGAAATTTAAAAAAGATACATGCCTTCAAGAAAGAAAGAAAGATAGGGTTTGTACTAAGAGGGCAACTGCAGAATCCAAAGAAGTATTATCCCAAGGACATCAGCAAAGAGTCTTCAATACTGGGATTGTACCTAGTGTACCTTTACAAAGCCATTTTAAACCAAAGAAGGTAGAATGTTTGGAGATTGAAACCAGAGATGTGATAGGACATGATGGGTTGCTTCTATCTCAATCTTGTTCAGAAATCAGTAAGGCTCGGGTTCCAAACAAGCCATCCACAAACGTGGAAATCTCTGATATCAATAGAAATGAACTAAATGGGGAAACATTTGAAGATAGACATTTGGAAAACAGAATGGAAACTGATGCCAAGATTATGGAGATACTATCCCAGTTTCCTGGAGATTTTAATTCTGTGGTGAAACCTGAGAGTGTGATCCCACCAGTAAAACAAAACTCTGATTCTGGAATTGTACAACAAGGCATGCAAACATTAGATGGAATGCTGAAGCACAGCAGTGGCGCCATCACTACTGATTCTGTTCCTGGAAGTTCAGATGGTATCATTGGTCAGAATTACGTAGACTTGGATGCTGAGAATGTTGGTGATACAGCCAATAGGACAGGTTCCTTCTCGAGTCAGAAAGGTATGGATTCCATTCCTGAGACTGTGGGTCACCTCTCTCATCAAATGACTATGGGCAGCAAATTAGAGAGCACAAATGACATTTCTGATCCAACAACGATTAGAGAGTGTGAGGAGAATGACAGCACTGCTGATGAGTTATGTGTAAAGCACGAATCTTCTGACAGAGCTGCCCTTGCTCATGAAACATATACAGATAATGAGTCTGAGAGTGTACGTGACATTACCAATAAGACATGTACAATGGACATTACAGATACCATATCTGATCAGAGGGTAGGCAGCCCTTGTGTAGTTGCAGTTAGAGTAGCAGATGAAGCTTGTAGCAACACAGGGAGTTTCTCAGGCTGTTTAGAAATGAATGCAGATACAGGCCTTCTTCATGCAGCTGAAAGTGGGAATGACACTGAAAATTTCAGTAACCTGACTGCTTGCTCAGATATCTATGCTGAGAGTATTTCATCTAGTTTCACAGAGTCAACAGGAAAGTTGATAGAGAGCTTGTCAGATTGTGCTTCCTCCGTACCTATAAAGAAGATAACTGGTAATAATTGTAACACTTTTTTGGACTCTGAACTCAGTATGTTAAATGGGACAAACGTATTTTCAGATAGTGCCTTGGGCAGTGATCTTGATGGTACTGGTGATATAACAGAGGCATTACATGAACTTAAGACTGCTGAAGAGTTCAAAACAGAAGATGGTGATTCAGAGAATGTGGAATTTGGTGTATCCTTTCCTGATATAGAATCAGTATCTAAGGAAACATCCATGGAGCTGAAAGCAACAGATGTATCTCACACAGAAAGAAGTGCTGCTACTGAGGAGAGCTGGGAGTCCATGTTCAATGATGATGGGGAGTGCCTGGACCCACGTCTTCTACAAGAGGTATGTTTTAGTAGAAATTGCTTGCCACTTAGGTAGTTTATCAATTCATAGAACCTAGGATTTGGCGAATAATTTTAGCAGACATTTCTGTTCAGTCACACATTCACTCATATTACATCCAGTGTAACAGTTCCTGCAACAAACTAATAGGATTGTAGATTGCAAAAAGAATATCTGGTCTTTGAGAAACAAAACAACTCCTGGTAAACTATATCTCTTAATAGTGGAATCCTGAGAAATCTTACTGAATAGATTAAAGATGAGTTTAATGGCTTCTGGCTAACTCTTGAGAAAATACAGAGGGAAACTTCTTTGAAAAGGCTTTTCTGTGTTGACAAGATGTATTTTACACCAGCCTATTTGAAGAAAAGAATAATTTATTATTCATATTTATTTTATTCTTCCAACGAATGTTGGAATGTTGTTAGACACTCTAGAGAGAAGGAAGGGTATGATAAAGGAATGTATGGTGGTTTTTTTAAGTTTGTGCTGAGTTAAAGAATAAGTGATTGTTGAATACATACAGAAAATATGCTGTCTAGGTAGAGTTCATAAATACAAAATGTTGGATTTGAAGGCATTTTAGAAATTATTTAGTTCAGTCTTTTCATTTTCTTGATTTAGACATTCCCTCTCTATCCAGCATTTAAATTCCTTACCATGAATAAGAATCGTTGGTTTTGAATAGTAGAATCATTTCCCCTTTTATTCCTTATAGCGAGTTCATATAACCTTTGCCCAGAAGGGGAAAAAAATCATTTCCCTATAAAATCTCCAGTTTTATACATGGGGAAATTGAAGGTTAATGGTTGTATCTTTAAGAAAGGCAGATTCAGGATTTCAGTCTACTGTCTTAATCCTGTATTTATGTTCTTTCTACCAGACCACTTCCTCACATATGAGATAGTTTTGTATGAGTGACTCCACAGTGCATTTTAAATGCTAAGTGATGAGTCTTTTGTTTTCGATAGTTGAACCAGAAGTACAGAAAAATGTTTACAAGCATGTATAAAAGAGACTGAAACTGAAGAGGGCAACCCATTGGGCAGAATTGAGTTTCCAATATCAAGCACTTCCTCCTTACTCTTGGGAGGTGTTTACATGCACATTTGTACCATTAGTACTTCTTACTGTGAAGTCAGGAAACAGTAGATCATAAACATTTCTTAGAAAGAATATAGAGCAGAAAGGCATCTACATATTAATGTTCACGAACCCTTTGAAATTGCATGCAAAATTTTGTATGTGAGTGCAGTCTTTCATAACTTTCATCAGATTCTCCAAGGTGATCATTTCCAAAGTATGGTCCCTGGTCCAGCAGTGTAAGCATCACCAGGGAACTTACCAGAAGTGTGAACTCTGTAGCGAGATTCACATGCACACAAGTGAGAACCACTGCTCACAGGCAGCATGCAAGCTTAAATTATATCAAGATGTGAGTGTGGTAACATGAGAGGGCTGTCAGCTCATAATGAAAAAGAAAAACACTGTTCAGCAGAGATTTTAGACCCCAATCAGGTTAAAATATACTAATAATATAGTGAGTTCGGTGATTATAGAGAAGTTACTAAGGATTCAAGCATTGGGAGAAGGCCTGAGTCTTGGGAAGGAAGCAGTGTTCTTAGTTGGCAAAGCGCCTGCTTAAGGAGGCGAGAGACCACAGGTGTGCGTAGGTGAGAACAAAACGAAGCTTCTTATAAAAGAGGGCATAGGACACAGAGCCTTCTTATACATGGTAGGACTCCATAAATATTTATTGAATGAATGTGAGTCAGTAGGGCAGAGTTGCTCTCTGCCTTTTAGGGTAGCCTCCAGGAGCTTTCACACATCGCAGTTGCTTGAGTTTTGATTCTGTGTGGTAGCTTAGGGCTATGGCTTCTGTGTTGGGAGGAGGGAGGTTCAGGTGTGCAACTGTTGTTAGACCTTAACACTGTTTAGGTGTGAACGAATTTAGGGAACCAAGTATCTAGAGGGGCATAGTAACATTGCCAAAGAAAACACTTGCTTGAACTAAAGTTGGGAACAGCTGGAAAACAGAGTCGGTGGTGTTTTAAGCTGAAGATAGCCAGTGCCTGGGTGTTGTGTTTGGGTATCTTTTGAGGTGCTTGGTAACGTTTGGGATCTATGGTGAGGCACGAAGATACATGAGAGCAGGAAAGAAGTTGGATTGAGTGCAAGTAGTGGATCCAACTCCCAGCTGTTGTCTCCTGTGTTTTGGGTTTTTAAAACGTGTGATAATGATAATGCTATTAAAAGATGTCACAAATCCAAGAAAATTAATAGCCTTTTGATGACTATTACTCCTAATTTATTATTTACAATTGTTCCAAGCGTACTTTATTAAAGTAAGTGTCTGCTTACCTTGAAAACTTTCCAACCAAAGATTTTTGGCTCTTTTCCCACCTGGCCTGTTTCTTTGATGACAGTGGCTAGCCATAGAGGTAAGCCTAATACTTCTGGTAGGCAGCGAAGTATGCTCTAGAGCAGGGTGTGGTAGTCATTGGCATGTGAAGCAGTTTCCTGACCTTTTGAACTTCTATATCTGCCTGAGTCATTAGCTCCCAGAATTGCAGCGCTTGATGAGTCTATAAAGATTACATGATTTCCTAAAGCCATGGTATGGGATGCCCAGAAATTGAGATTTTTACTGATAAAGAAAAGGATATTGGCATGACTTCTTTTAACCTTTAAGATCTTGATACCAGAACATAGGAATTATTGTCTAGATAAAACTTCCTTTTCTGCCTCCTGTATCAATCAGCAGACTTATTAGTAGGAGGGTTAGTGAGATGTCAGCAGCATAACATTGATATTGCTAGACGCTGGCACCTGGTCCCTTCACTGGCCGTTTCTGATTTTGAGGTATGTTTTTAGATGGGGGTAAATATTTGGGTAGGAGTTTTCTTTTGTTATAGACGGTTACTAACAATGTATAACCTAACCCTGATGCTGGGAAGGATTGGGGACAAGAGGAGAAGGGGACGATGGAGGGTGAGATGGCTGGATGGCATTGCTGACTCGATGGACATGAGTTTGAGTAAACTCCGGGAGTTGGAGATGGACCGGGAGGCCTGGCGTGCTGCGATTCATGGGGTTGCAAAGAGTTGGATGACTGACTAAATTGACTGACTGATAACCATGGAAAAGAGAAAAGGAACACCATTCATTTCCAAATCATCATCTTTCTGTGTGTGCCTCCTCATGTTCATACTTCATCAGTGGTATCTTTCCATCTAGTTGTCCCAGTCATGCTGGGAAGATGAGAGAATCCAGAGGCATCTCCCTATTTCTCAGTCTTCCTTGACTACAAGTTTAATCGACTGCAGTGGTTTCACTCTTCAGTGGGTTTGGATGGCATCTTCCCAATAATGCCAGCATCAGTTTGCCATATTAACCTTTTTGTACTGTGAATAGGAGCCAGGTCCCTGTTGGTTCAGTATATTGACTTGGTCCCTGCCCATATACTTATGTGCCACATATTACTATTCATTAGAGGCAACTAGAGCTTTCATATTTGTCCTCTGGCACTGGTATTGGTAAGTGTTCATCTCACATGCCTGATAGTTAATTATAGCTTTCTTTTTTATTTCCTTTTGTTCATCTCCTTTTCTGTACTCTTATTCACTTTCACCCTTTCTTCTTTCTTACTATGCCTTAATCCAATGCTGTAGCCATGACTGTCTCTCACTGATGATTATCAGTGATATTGAAATGTTGCTGATACCTATTCTAGAGAAATCGTTAGATGGCACCTTGAGTGCCATTCTACCTATTCTGTGTTAAACATTTTATGAGGTCATAGTTTGCATTTCTGGCCTTGGTTTCTTGATAAGGTCAGTGGAGGCATAGCCCTAGATATATTATATAATTTTATTTGCAGGTCGAGAACACCACTGAAGACATTAGCTACTCTTAATGTGTAAAATCTTAAAAAGTTAAAGTCTAAATTTATCCTACTGTTGTAAAGGATTTATGCCCAAAGCAGTATAGAAAAGGGATGGAAGCCATAACTTATGCTGTATATTATACATTGTAGTTTATTACCTTTTTAGGGAACTTTTTGGATGTGTTTGGACTTTAGGTCATGAGAAATTTTACAAAATGTTTGAAAATACTTTAATATAGTGTTATTTCCCTGTTTGCCAAATACAGAAAGTTAAATAGGTACAACATTTTAATTCTGGCTTTTGATTTGTTCACATTACTGTGGACCAACATGAAAAATTCTAGGCTGTTATTCTCAGTTTTCCATGGAAATGGAATACCAGTGATAGAATCAAATCTAGATAATTCAAAGATGTTATTTTTTGTATATAGCTTAAGCCTATTCTTCAGCCAAATCCCAAATCTTTTAACTTGTCAAAGTTTATAGTAAATAATAAATTTTAAATTTTATTTTCTTCAGTAGAAAGTGAGTTAATAAGCAGTTAAGCTACAGGGTAAGAGTAGAAGAGAAAAATAGAAACAAAGGGCTTGAATAACATAACCTAAATAATAAGAATTGACTGCATGGGTTAATTCTATGAATAATTATGGAAATAGATATAGTGACATTGAAGCAACTGCAGTAATGTTATACCATCAACTCCTGGTCAAGTCTCTGTTGTCCATGTCCCTGTAATCTCCTGATATATCCAATATTTAAATTTGTTACAGCCGCAACTATAGTTTAAGGTGGTGTATTATGTTTAATTGTGATTACAGGTATCTACAGAAATTTTTTTTCCCTACCTTCTAAGATCAGAGGCAGGATTACACTATAGGCCTTGAAAAATAAGATCTAGGAACTGGAACTTTAACCTGAGAGAACTGTACGTGTCTTTTTCTTTTTTTAAGTGGAATGTTAGCATTGAAAGGGACCTATAGCATAATATTTTATGTTTACCTCTTGCTTTATAGGTAAGGCAGCTAAGCCCCAGAAAAGTTATTACTGATCTAGCTAAGGTTACTGCCAGAGTTGGCCCAGTCTCCTGGTTTTCTAACCTGGGCTCTTTCCATGA